CAGATAACAAACATGATAAAACCAGTGTTGCCAATTGTCGAATGATAAAATGACGCAAAATTAAAATTCGTCCTTACTTCCTGGACATTCTTTATAACAGCAGAAAATCCATCTATAGAAAAAATGAGGCCAGATTTCGACTTACGCCTGTTGAAAGGCCCCATGTAAATTGACAATTTGAAATCTAGCTAAAATTATTCATTATTTGTTATTTACGTAGGTAAACACGCATTTAGCCCAACTAACATCTAAACAACGCTTTAAGAGTGCATCCATAGCAATGGCCATTAAAATACTCCAGACTCTATTAAAAACATTTTAGCGGACTTTCGGGTTTAGATTTTATCAGTGCTCATACATCTTGGGATAAATATGACTTTGGCACAAAACACAATTTTGGGGAATAAATGTAAACAAAATTTATTTTTACAATTACTCGTATTATGGTACTGATATATTGAAAGTAGTATGCTAGCATAATCTCTTCGTTAATTTATATTTAAGTTATGGATACACTTAAGCATCAAATTAGTTCTTAGTATTAAGTAAGAAAGGATGCTATACAATAGGAGTTCGTTTATTTAGGAATTATAATATTTCTTAAAAATTAACTTTTCTGGCTTTTTGTGAGGCCTATTTGTAAATAATATGGCCTACATTAATACTTTTTCCAATGTTATGCTCAATCGCAAATGTAGCGAGATTACGCGTTCTTTACCATTCTCCAATCGTAAAGATTTTTTATTAATTTCGTTTTGCTGAAAGATCTTTCACAGCTGACAGAAGTCAAAGGTAGCCTTGAAACTATTACAGAAAAGTTCGAAGATGTTCAACGACCTTGAAACCGTAGATCAGTAATATTTAAACGAGTTATCTTTTAAAAAAGCTTTATGTGATATAATAATCATTGTCCATAATTTAAAATACGTATTTTGCGTTAAAGCTTTAAAGTGTTATTAAAAATGTTCGGTATAAATCCGATCAAGCACATGCCTTCTACCTACAGTGATCGCTTCGCACAAAATATTGATTAGGTCTATCGTTTTATTTAGGTCGTATATATATATATATATATATATATATATATATATATATATATATATATATATATATATATATATATTACATTTTTACTCGTACGCTTTAGCTAAAAGAAAATAAATGACGTTTTCGCACGACGCATCACACTAAGAAGGAATACGCCAACCCTGTTTCCTTTTTTGTGACGGTAACGTCGCTCTAGCGGCAATTTACCGAAATAGCGTGCAGTTTTAAATTTGTGTTATGCGTGATTTGTATGTATAAGGTGGCAAAATAGTAGTTTATGCAATTAGTTTATAGTATTGAGCATCATTGCTTGAGTACATCTTTTGAAAACGAGCGACGTTGAGAGCTAGTTTTAAAATTTGTTCGAATGCAATAAAGCAACAATACAAACGAGTTGCATACGCTACATTTTTTATAACAGCATTATACATTTATAAGAAAATCAAATAATTTTGCGAAACAACTTTCTGACGTCTTGGGGACTTGACATCTGTGTGAGAAAACGAAGGTGGTCGACTGTTCAGTTTACCGAACAATTCTCTCGCTGCGATTGGCTGAATGTGTCATTCGTGCCATAAGACATCATCTGTGGGCCAATCAAATACCTGATTATGAACGATTTCTTACAACAGAAAAGGTAATTTATAATGCTGGTATCAAAAAACAAGATATTTTAAATAATTTATTTTTGGGTGTATGAAAATTGAAGTTGTTATTCGATTTGGATTTTATTCCCGACCGAACGCTGAGTTTGCCATTCCTACGCTAATAACGGACCGTCACAGTTGTGGCAACATCTTACGGATGCAGTGTCGGAGCTAGACAGTTTTGGGTCCGGGGCAATATTAAACGTAACCGCCCAGATTAAAAATGTGAAAGTTGAATCAAGAAACTATGAGTTGCTTTCTTTTAGCAAATAACAATAATTACAGCGTTAAAGCTTGAAAAAGTTTTTGGAAATATTTTAAATAATAATTTTAAGTGAATGCATTTAGTGGCCAAATAATGCAATTTCCACGGTGATCTTAAATCGCTATAAAATGTTTTTAATTAGTTTCAATAAAATCACTTGTTAAACCCTTGAAATAATAATATGAGTTACAGTGAAATCTATTTTAATGTTAGCGTTCTTTAATTCATTTCAAAGAGTCCCACCTAATAAGTAATGACTAATTAAACAGTTAAAGTGAAAAATTAACCAAAAAAAGAAAAAGAAATATCAGAATTATAAAATTACGTTAACGATTTTCTCGAGTTCCATAGGGTCCCGAGGCTTGCGGGGCCCAGAGCGATAGCCCGGTCTGCCCTTATCGCCGACACTGACCGGATGTAAATATAAATTTCATTGAAATTTGTTACTACCGATTTTTTTGCCCTAATTTTAAATAACTCTAAGAAATTATAAATTTCATTCCTTTCAATGTTATTAAATATTTATTTTCAAAAAATTTAAAAAGTAATAAATATATAAAACATTTCGGAATTTATTTTAAAGTAATTAATTTTTCTTTTTTAAAACTTACTGAAAAATGATTTGTTAATAACAAGAAAATTGTTTTCTCTCTTAATATTTTTACGAATTTATATTTTTTTAATAAAATGAATCTTATTAAGTACATTGATTCAACTCGCAAGCATTTTGATAGTAATTCAAAAAGGTTGATTTACAATAATTTATCATTTATGAACTTTGAGTTATTGTTTCTTTCAAATCTATAGAAAAATTAATTTTTTTGATAAAAAAAAGAACTTTTAAAGTCACCAGAAACTGTCTAGAAGTGACTGACCAAAAATTTCTGACAAAACTTTGATTGACTGTAATGAATTTTCTTTTTTCAAATCTTTTATTTAATGTTCAGTACAAATTTTGTGTTAACAAAGGGCTGCCATTCCTAGGAGCACCTATCGTAATCAAGTGAAAGGCTTTTCTGTTTTTAAATGTGACTTAGTTTTAATTTTTGGTGCCTATGTCTCAGCAGCTCGCAGGGTGTGCATCTGGAAAGTGCAGCCTCCTGTTGGTTGCAACCCTGGCAGCCCTTAGCTACGGCACTGGGGGTAAGCATTTAATTAGCTATGCTCATTGCACTAACTCACCCTAAATTTACTCATTAATCTTAATACTATATATTTTTCTATTCTACATTAATACCACTTTAGTAAATTGTTTTGTATCCTTTTAAACATTGATCTAAATACATTACCAAATGTAAAACAAAAATCTTAGATATTTATTCTCCCCAGGGATTGTAGCAAATCATATGTCCATGACAACCACACTAATAACATCAACTAAATGTTGAAGTTATTAAATTCCCTACATCAACCAATTTGAGATATTTACAACAAATTGTATACTGTCCAGTTTTTATACAATATGTTATTTCTTGTTTAAGAGTACTTTGTTTTCTGCATTACCTGTAAAATTTGAAATTTTGGTCAGAATAATTTGATATGTTCTTCATATATGAATGAATCATAACTTAAGCGAAAGTCCTAGAACAACTGACTTTTAAATTATGTAACCCCAATTCAGTGTATATGGACAGTCTGTAATAATCCCTTCCCCACTGAAAAAAATATCAGTAAGTCGATGATACTAATAATTAAAGAATTTCTTAATATCCCTTTAAATTTTCCTGCAATGCAATGTTCTCTGTACTGTAAACTTCTTGTTCATGAAATTAATAATTAAATTAGCATCCCACAGCATTATGTGTAATAATAGTAGTATGATAAAAAGATAACTTACCTTGCAATTCTAGGGAACAGAATCTCTTCAAAATATTAATCAATATAGTATTCATATTTAGAATATTAAGCAAACAGTATTAATATATAGGGCAGTGTATAAGATTTACCAACTTTTCTAAAATCTTTGATAAGAAAAAGGGTCTTCTCTACATTTAACAGCAGATTATATTGTTTTTTATTTTTTAATCATAATGTAACATTGTGTAATTTTATTGTTTAATCATAATGTAACATAATGTAACTTATCAAGGAAAATTCTCTCAAATAAATACCTAATCAAAAAAATATTCTGTCTTTCTTCAAGGCAACCATCAAACAAATAGACATAGCAAGCAAATATAGATTTCAAGTTCTCTCAAGATTGATCAGAGTATTTGTAGCCTTAATTATGCAATGAAAAGGGATATTTTCTTTCATTAATTATGCTTTACAAATTATGTGAATGATACCGACTAGGATAATTTTTACAATCTAATGGGGTACCAGACTTCCCTATTCACTTCAAAACAGAGTACCTGAACCAAGTGTATTATTGTATCCTTAACACTTGGAAAAAGTCTTCTCAAGTTAGGCAGTGTGTGAATAAAATTAACGTATTATTTAAGTTATGTAATTAAATACAACAAAAAGACTTTCTAAATGCTTTACCAATCATCTTTAGTTATCAGTGGCCATTAAACAATATTTTATAGAAAAATGACTTGTTGAAATTAAACAGAGGACAATTTCATGTCATAAGTGTTCTACACATGGTCTCTCATTCATATCCACGTATAGAAACACAAGAGAAAATCAGATCTAACCATGTCCATTTTCTACCCAACCTTTCAGTTGTTGCTAATTAAATTTAAAATAATATAGTTCCTATTTAATATAATTATTACACAAAAAAAGGAGTTTGTATTGGCTTGTTGCTGCCCATATTATTTATCTCATAACACAGGGCAAAAATCTGCTCTGCTCCCTGAAAATATCAGCCTACAGATAACATTTATAAGTACATAAATAAGTCACACACTTACACAATTATTGTATCATTAAAAAAAAAATGAAGAATGTTGTGATAATAAATGATTTATTTTCCAATTTGTGCTCAAGTCACAAAACTCAATATACTTTGAATATTAACATTAACATTTATGGTATTTTTTATTTCATTGCCACAAAGACTTAAGGAAGATTGTGTTCTGGTAGAAATTGAAGTATGCTTCAATAAGAAGCATCATCCAATTGCTACTTTTAGCCAGAATATTCATCTCACTTACCTTTTCCATAAAGTGGAGAATATATTTACACAAAAGCAATGAAATTAAAAAGTTTCCACAAGGAGAAATTAGAACCATCATTAGCATCTCCATACTAATCTGCAATATTCAGAAATGAAGTTTACAAACTGTAATCTATACAGAAACTATTTCCACCAGGATGAGAAAGGACTGAACGAGACCACTGAAGTAGACAAATCACATTTACTGAACACTCACTATACTACAAATAAATGCTAGCCCAGCATTTCCCAAACTGTGGTCTGATATCAGTTACTGGAAAAATACTGGTCCTCAGCAATATCACTATACATTTTCCTATAATATCTGAGGACAGACTTCAAGTTAACTGTGGAACAGATTCAATGTTCAGTCCTACAATGGCAAAAATTTCCTCCTTGTATACAAATATGCAATCACAATAATTACTTTTTAACCATACACTCTGCTATATTCTCCATTTCTAAAGATGTAATTTGTTATCCCTAATTCTGTAACAAATAAATAGTGGAATAGATTGCATTTATTTTGTGGTTTGAGCAGACAACTTTATCTTACTGTAATGTATGATCAGGTGACTGCAAAGAAATATCATTTATATATTTACACATATATAATGGTAAGGAGAATACCATCGGGCAGCAGCAACAAATTTATAATAAAAGTGAGATCCGCAGGTCTGAAAGTTTGGGAAATACTGAGATAGCCTTTGGGTTTCTTATAGGAGAAAGTTTTGCTCCAGTGACCACCCCAATCCTTGCAGATCCTACTTGTCCAGTACAAGTTGCTTCCTTGTACACTGTGCAGCAAGATGCTCATCACATTCTTCTGGTAGCAATAATCAATGCAACTACAATTGCAAAGATGAGCACTAAATATTAGAGGACACATGTAAATTTAGAAAACCATTCACTCCAGGTATTCACAGATTGTTACGACTAACAAAAAAATGTGTCACACTTGGAACAAGTACATCAAACAGCAGTGAAAAGTGAATTTCTCTTAATATCATACAAACATTAACCCAACTGCACACAGTTCACAGGATCCAATTCATTATGACAGTAAGATTCATTCTATAAATTCATTTATCTTTCTCTCCCATAACATTAACATTTGACTTCTTGTGAACTAGTTCAGTACATTCTGGGTGTGCTTGGAAGACAGCCTGAATTATTTCAATGTCCCATTTTCACCAACAATTTATACCCATGCTTGGAAGCCTGCATTTCTACTTTTTGAAAAACAAATGTTTTTGAAAAGCAGGTATTTTTACTGCTTTTGTAAACTTTAAATAAACAATATATAACTCGCAACTCTGAATTCAGGCGCTTCAAAATGCTGTTGTAATTCTTCAAAGGAAAGGGCAGGAATGTTAATCAGACCAGTTTCCCTGACATACTTTTACATAGGAACATTTTACTGCTCCACATGACATCCCAGATTAAGACTTGTTTCATGCAATTCAATTCAAAACCATATAAAACTCAATGACACTTGTGCTCAAATGTAAAAGTTGAATCTTTGTTTTTCACTCCCCTGCTGCAAACAGTCACAAAGAACATGAAAGTAAATTAATTTCATTTGAGGCAGCTTTGATCAGTAGGAAGAAAGATCAGTCCCATGGCCCAAAAGCTGCATTTACAACCCTGTTTAGCTGAAGTCAAGTCAAGTCTCCCTTGATGTCATCTCTTCCAAAAGAGGTCACGCTAGTCTCTTAGAGTTCAGTAAAGTGTTATGAATAACACTGGGCAGCAGCAACAAACTTACAAGTGTCCCAAGTATGAATTCCCATTTTCCACCGAGCTCATTATTCATGCACACTTTCTCTTACTCAATAACTGCAATAATGTTAGTGGATGGTGAGGATAATGCAGTCCAAGAATTAACCTAAAAATCAGATATTTTTACTTTATTGGGCAATGGTTTAATTACAGCATATAAAGCAAAAAAGAAGCGATATATATTTATATATATTTATGAATTAAAGAGTATGGTATGGGAGAAGAGGATATGCTGTATAATAATAATAATAATAATAATTATATAATAATCATCAATCTATTCTGAGTATTTCCAGCAAATATGTTCAACAGGACATTTGGGGGAGAGGAAGATGTAAGTGATGTTTCAGAACTACCTTAAGAGTGACTGGATGGCCCACCTCACATGTGATTATACTCCCCAGTCAAGCTTCTTCCCTTGATATGCATTACAATTTTCAGATATTTACCATCTTTAGTTACAGCAAGCACCACCCACAAAACAACCTCTTCCATTGCATAAAAAACATACATTATATATATATCGTACACTTTTGCTGTTTCTATGCGACACCATAATTTTCTCTTTAAATTCACATATTTTTGAAATATTTTACTTTGTTTTTCATAATAAAATCTTAGTATACAACTATGCCTACACTAACTGATAAAAACAAGCAGAAGTGGTGGGAAAAAAAAAATCAAGGGTATACTTCACTTACATTACTATAATATATATATAAACATGTTCAGGCAGCTATATTATCCATAAGCTGCATGTACGAACAATTAAAAGGAAACTCCATCGAATACTATATATATATATGAAGTGATGTTTGGCCCGCCCTGTTTCTCCTTGACCAAATCCGTACCTCCGCTTCATAGTGAAGGTGATTTGGTACACTAGGGAACAGAACCAGTCCAACTCGTTGCATAGTTGTTCAAGATGATGGTTTTTTTATGTCTTGTAAAACATAAAAAAGTGTCCACTGCTGGTCCCGCGAGTCTAACCTTGCACCACAGTTTGCACTTCACAAATGCTGATGTTTTGAATTCCATATAATGCTGAGACAGCACCATTTCCCTTTCACACAATTAAGATAGTAGTTTCTGTAAATCAGCATCATACCAGTTGCACTCTTTCGACAGCAAAAGAAAGAACGAACATCAATCTCTTCAGTCCCCAAAATAAATGCTTTCTTACATCTATTAAACAATTAGATTATCTATATATGTTATTTCTTATACATACGACAAACAAAAATCACTTGACCATGACTATTTATATGGATTCATTTTAAATTCTGCACATAATCTTAAGCTTTAATAACATTAAAATTACAACATGGCCAAGTGATTGAAATGGATCCTGTAGTGTATACTTTGAAGGGTTCACTACAGATTAAATTATGGTAATTACAATAAATGGGGAATGGGGGATATTAAATCTCAATCTACTTACAGTATTTGCACTGAATTTCTTTTCTGAGCAAAATCTTGCCATAATAATTATACTGTCTTTCATTCTCTCTTTCATACTTCTCTTCACCCACAATTCTGCCTCAGGTCATCGTGCTGGCCAAACCCTAAGAAACCTATTTCATGCAGATTCTCTTTGCCCTACAATTTGCAGTCACAGTAGATTCTTGAGCCAAAAAGGGCAGATTTCTCAACAAATCTCCCCTCCTGATAAATTTCACAATGGCTACAACCTATTTTACTACAAACATAAATATTTCAAAAATCCTCAAAACATTAAGAAGGCAAAGTGGAATGAATGACTGGAATATTTTTGTAGAACAGTAAAACACATTTCAAAAAGTTCAAAGGGTAAAATTAATTAAATTCATTTTCTTTCTAAGAGACAACGTAAGTGTTCTAGTTCTTGCTTCCCTTATACATATAACTGTATAGAAAACGTTTTCATAAAAAGCTACACAAATAACTTTCGAAATTCTTTTTTTATAAACGCTTATAAAATGGTTTTATGTTTTTTTGTTTGGTTTTGCTCCTGAACATAAAAAGCCTATCTCTCATCGAGGCACGGGCTCTCAGAAGTGTCCGTGACTGGAGAGAGAGTTGCAGCAAGCTAAGCTGGGTCACAAACACACATTTACACAGTCAGACATCAAATGAAGGGAGAATCAAGCAACCACCACTTCACTTCGCTTCTTTCTCTTCTTTCTGCTTGTTTTCTTCTACATCCTTCTCAACCTCTTTCTCTTCTTTCTCAGACTGCAAAAAAAGAAATACACTAATTTAATTGCCAATAGAAAATTAAATACAAACTAAATCAGTACTGATTAATTCTGGACGATAAAAAACCTGATTTAAATATAAACATATTTAAAATTTCCTTTAAACATGAGGAATGTTTGATGTACATTTTGGAAAAGTATTAATTCATTTATTTGGCATTGATTTGTAAAACTGTTGTAAACTCTGAAATACATTCCCAATGTACAATGTATTCAATATGTAATAATATTAAAAGAGGAATGAAATTATTCTTTTCAAAATTCCATATCAGTTTTTTGCCTAAAAATTTTGTGGAAATTAACTTCAAAATTTGGGACAGTTACATATTGAAAAGAATTAGTCAAAAAACCTGGATAATAAAAATACAATTTAAATAAAAAAGAATACTGAGAATATACTTTTGTGAATAAATTTTTATCACATGTCATCAATAAATCCTTCTCAGAATGCAAAGCCCCAATAAGAAGAAGTAAGAGATAAAAAGACCCTTCAGGAGCTACTCGTTTCTTTGAATGCTTTAAGTACAAGTTCCCCCCACTCCTTACTTGCTATCACAACAAACACAGACTTTCTTTCGTTAATTTTAGGTTAATTTTGAACGAACACTTTCTTCATTTCAACTAAATTAAGAGTAACTCAATATATCATGAAATTTATTTTTTACCTTTTCCTTCTCTATTTCTTTTTCGATTTCCTTCTCTATTTCCTTATCACCTTCCTTCTCATCTTTTTCTTTCTTCTTCTCTTCTTCCTTGCTCTTGGTTTCCTTCTCTTCAGGGGGTGGCTTTGGCAGGTGAGAGTTCAAGTCCAGGGTTTTGCAGATTTCATCCCAGTCAGGGTAACACCTGTAACAAAAACCATTACATTTCAGTATATAAATAATGATTTTTCAATATTAACTTAATTTATACTTTTTTTGTTACATTTAACCATTATAAGGTAAATGAGCATAAAGTACTACTAAACATTCAAGAGTACCATATCCGTACTTTTAATACTTTAAAATATAATTTATAAATTCAATTGTTCACTAAATTTTGCAATATTTATAAGCAACAACTTCATTCTGCATTTATGTAGATACAACTTTTTATGTTAGCTCAAGACACACAAGATGAAATTTACATTAAGAGACCTCTAAGTTTATGTCCACAATTCTTTTTAGTTATATGGGAGATGGGAGGTTGGATCTCCACTTCTTTTGTTGACTAGGCCACGCAAATGAGATGTCAGAGAGCTCTTTCAGCCCTGAAATAGGTACTATTAGACAAGCCACTCAATAATACTCTTCAATCTCTAAAAAACTAATTGATAGGAAGTTGAGTGGACCTTTGAATTGTCTTGATTATGACATAACTGTATTAAAATAACCAATAATGTGGGTTTAAATCAGTTCCTCAGCATAGGCAATGAACGCCTTTAGCATTGTGTTACTATAACAAATCCTATGCTAAAATTACAGCCATCAGATGCTGATTAAGTCATACTGAGCTTCTTAAAAAGTTTTAAAGTCTGTTTCATTTAAGGTTTCAGTTCCATATTTTCTTATTTAGTTGTTTTGTCGCCACATAAGTAGTTTCTGAATTTGCTCCAATTCAGATATTCCAGCAACAACCAGCATTTATAATTTTTAGCTTAAGATTAAATTATTTGTTTTAAAAATCTAAATTATAACCTTTATTTTCACATTTTCTGACAAATCTTCATTATGTTTTATTTATTAATAACCTATCAACAAAGTAAAATTATGAATATGACTGAATGATCTGAGATTAAAACAATCATTCATCCACTTGGATTGACTTGTCATAACCCAGAACTTTCAGTAACCTTTATTATACGGGAAAGCAATCTTTCTTTTTGATGTTTTTATTCTTTCTGACAAACCTTTCCTTCATCCTGTTCACATGGCCAACCAAATTCGGGCAGTTTTCAATCATGAAATCACGAAGCTGGAACTGCACATCTTTGTCAATGAAGTAGATCTGAGCAAAGCTTGAAAAGGCTACAATATCCAACTGAAACACAAATTAAAATGTGTTAATTTTACATGAAGATCACAGAAAGCTCACAGAATGCAACTACTCTAGTTCAAAATCTACATCATTAAGAACATAAGCTGTAGAAAAGAATACTTCAAAGAAAAAACAAAAATGACTATAAGAAGATGAAAAATAATAATGGAATAAATTTCAGAAAAACTACTTATTCAGAAAAAGTTTAATTTTTTACTTCTTGCAAAAGTGAATATGAAGGTCACTTTCAAAACAATTATAGCATACTAAATATTTAGGGCAACAAATTTGAAGTACTTACAGTAGTAGGCTCATCACCAAAGAAGAAAGGCTTGTCAGCCAACAAATCTGACAACACCCTCAAGTCATTCTGACCAAATTCAATAATTTCCTCTGGCTTGTGGACACCAATTCCTTGAGCTTTCACCTTCTTGGCACCCTGAAAAAGTTATTCAAGTTTTTATAAGTATTTTTATTCAAGAGCTGTTGCACAACTGGAATAACTAGTGGAGACTTGGGATATTTATTTGACTAATCTAAAGGATTTATATGAATGAATTAAACTAAAAATTGAGCACTGTGTTGCAGTATTTCTCACTTTTAATTTGCATTGCAAAATTTTCTTAATTATTTTATTGAAACAATTCATAATAGTTTATTAATTGTTTTACTAATAAACACTTGATGGACAATCTAAACAAATAAATTTCATTTGAAATGCCAAAGCTTATATACACCCCTTCATAATATAGTGATTGTACAAAAAAGATGAAGCAATTATGATTAGAAAACTTATTCATTTCATATTTCTGAAGTTTCCAAAGATTCTTCACACATTTTGTGTAGTGTTTGAAGCAAAATAATATTCTTAAAACACAATGTATACCAGTACTCGGAAAAGTAAATAAGGTCAATCAGAAAAGTCACTAATGAATTAATGGAAATTCAAAGGCTATTTAATATTCATAGAAAGAAATTTATCATCCATGAAAGTTTCACAGAAATCTTCAATAAAACATCCTAAACTTCATATTATATTTTAGAAATTCTGGGGAGAATGCAACCTTCCTCCTCCCCCCCCCCTCCCAAAACTGACTCCACAAAATTTTATTTTTTTTACTTTTTGAACAAAAAATTCTACCTTTTCAGAACTTAAAGTGAAGTTTTATATTTTCCACTAATTTGTGTTCACTAAACACTAGAAATTTTCACATCTGAATATTCCTGTAATAATTCCAAGTATATTGTGACAAATTCTAGAGTATGCAAGAACAGGTTCAGAAATTATAAAAGATTTAGAACAGTTACAGTTTTTACATTTTGATTTATTATTGGTAATTCATTTTTTAACCAAATGTTTTGCTATTTGACAATCAGATTTACAGAGAGAAATTTGGCTAATCCTGGGTTGTCTGGAACAAAATGCATTTTCAGATATTAAAACTGCATCAGATTCATCTACTATGTTCAATTTGTGATTTCATATTTTGTAATATTGTATAAAAAAGAGATTTTTTTAAATATTATTAGTAAAGTTCTAAAACAATAACTCAACAGTTAAAATAAATGTCAAGGACAAAGATAGCAGCAAAAAATTTTTATATAACCTATGTTTAATGCAATTGTTAATAGCACTAACTACACTGTGTGGAACAAATCAACATTACCAGCAAAACATTCCAATACACGAAGCAGGCAATTAGCAAATTAAGAAATAGATAAATACTGTAATATCAGTGAACATTTGCAACTGGGCAGGGTAAGGATTGCTACTTGTTATCTACAAAAATATGTTTGAAGTTACCAAGCTGTTGTCCTTTTGAGGAATGATTCTTGTCAATGTCCCTACAGTACGAAACATTTATTATGAAAATGAAAAAGAGGATACTCACAAGTATGAGACTCACCTTACGAACAAAGGTGAACTTGAAAATTAAGTTAAGGATGCCATTAGGCAACTTTGACCCCAAAGCATGTTGCAGATTCATCTTGTAACCTTTGATCACATTATCAGGGTATTTTGTTCTCCACCACGCTACCACCCTGAAACATTTGAATGCAATTTTACTTTAATGCAATGAGAAAAATATCAAATGGATTCGGATAGCAATATAATTGTAAGAACTAGACACTGTAGGAATTTTAAATTTGATTTTATCAGCAAAAATTGAAATTACAGGCCAGTGAGTAGTGAGATTCTATGATGTGCTAGTAAAGTACTTTGAAAGAGCCACCATGAGAAAACAGATGAATGAATGAAACTATAAAACTGTATCTCGCAGTAAACTTTGTAACATTGCAAGCTAAAACCAAGAACAAATATTTTAAAAGAATTTGTTTAGTAGCATCTGGATAGTTTCAACATTTTACAAAGTGAATGATATGCAGATATGCACATGAGTTTTTAATTACATGTCAAAAAGGAAACACACTTTTTTTTCCCCTTTCATTACAAGCTTTACAAAAGGAATTATATATTCTCAAAGCCTATATGAACAAAAATTCAACAAACACTTACCAGACTAAGTGGTTCTCAATCATGGAGATCATAGCATGAGACACGTTCTTCTGATCTTTGGTAAGTCCTGCATCAGGATCCTTTTCAAATCTTTGGGCCAATTCTTTCAGGATGATGGTGCTGTCAGCGATTTCCTCTCCATTGAGTTCAATGAAGGGGAGCTGGCCCTTCTTGGAGCGGAATTTCATCTTGTGATCTACATTCTAGAACACAAAAATAACCTTGTGTTAGAAAAATATACCTCGTTTTACCAAATAAACAAATACATTGACATAGAATGTATCAATTTCTATTAGAACTTTCTGAAAATAACTTTAAACTTTGCACGCTTTTTATTATTGAAGTAACATTTTGTAAATTGCTTGTGAAACATCTTCACGATTTAAATATTTCTTTGAAAATTAGGAGATGTGGGTTTTAAAATACTTTATTGAAAAGGTTAACAGTTTTGTATCCGCTAACCGAAGTTTATGTCATTATTTAATAAATAATCTTCGTGTCGCAAATGAACGACATGGAAATTCAGCGACGGCCACCCGAACATTTGTCATATGTCTCGCTGACTTTTTTTTCTTCATTAGTACAGTTTATGTCACTTATCTAACGCGATTTTAGACATTTGAAATGTTGTAAGGATAATTCATTTTTCGCAATCGCATGAAAACCGAGAATTGCTGGAGTCCGGAGAATCTCAGTTCATTAACCGTTGCAAATAAGTTTTTTTTATAAATCGGGAACGAAAAATGTCTACTTTTTCAAATGTAGCTAGTCTCGCGCTTTAAAAAAACATTTATATTTATTTCTATATTTATTTATCATTAACTTTTACTCGGCCTTCAACTAACTATTTAGTTAAAATGATGGGAAGGGATTCTGGAACGTGCGCAGATTATCTTCTCCCTCTACGTTACACAGTTTTTACTGTTTTTTGACTAAATAAATCTAAATCTCTTTACCACCTACAGGGAGATTTCGGGTGAAAACTGGAGAAATCATGATCGTTGGGAATCGCCCGATTGCATCCTGCGATCACTCTCCCTCCCTTCAGACGTTTCCCATTATCCCTTTTCACTGTTGGCTACCCGATTGCCATATCCTTGCCCGTGTTTCGGGAGGAGAAAGGAGGAAACATTGTAATAGTTAAATTTCCATTCATTAGGAACGCAAATATGTCTTTTCGCGTCAATCTCGAGAAATCCTCTATGAAAGGTGAATGTGGTAGAAACCTTCGGACTGTTTATATTATCGAACTAACTAAAATATAATTATTTTAATTCTGCATATGTAAGGAAACCCGTGACCCTCTTGTTCTTTCATGGGGCAGTCCACACTTTACGTAGACTTACCTTCAATATCCCATAACACAGTTTAATTAAAAAATAATAAGCTTCTCTTCCTTTTATCTGATCAATACAAAAGTAATTCAAAATCCACGTTAAAGCAGCATTCGTTGTTTAGTGCCAATAATTCTCAAAACACCAGCCTCCGTGGCGCAATCGGCTAGCGCGTTCGGCTGTTAACCGAAAGGTTGGTGGTTCGAGCCCACCCGGGGGCGAAGGTTTTTGCCTTTAAGATTATTAAAGAATTTCGTTCAGCTAGCATTTCCATTGCATGAAAGGGGCATCGTAATAAGCTGCTAAAGGAAACGATACTGCAATAAACTACTTATCTCGGTCTGCCAAATTGACTTATGTATCCTTCCGATGATCAACAGTAAAATTTAAGTATAAAGGACCGATCTTCCAAGCACTAAACCTGGGCAAACAGTTTCCTCTACACTTTAGGAAAATCGAACGGAATGCGATCAGTCTGCCTTTTGGGACAGACGGGTAAAAGGCTTAAGAAAAGTTGACCGCGGGACGCAATTCTTCGAAGGGAAGTAAAGTCCACGTCGCAAATTTGCGACCCATGAGAAAAACTTCAAGCGTAAATGACACTCCTGACCATTACTTCCAAAGCCATTCGACAGCCGTCGATTATGGGCAGAACTATCAATCAAAAGTTTAGCCTAGTGTTGAGAAATTATATTTTTTCCTTCGGGATTAAGGAAACTAGAGCAGTAATTATAATGCTCCCCTCAGTCAGCAAAGCGTATATTATTTATTATAAATATACGCTTTCAAAAATTACATTCAGAAGAAGAAAATCTATGAGGAGGATTGCCCTCCCTTCTCTCCCCCTGAGAAACCAGCGCTGCTCTCAGCAGGAGGCACGCGTATGCGAAGGCGCCGCGTCGCAGCGTCGCCGGCTGGTGCATCGCGCGACGGCAGGGCCCATGGCAATGACCTGTACAGCTGTTCGCGACTTGCCATCTGGCGGCGAAGAGATGCGGGACGCGAGGACGCGGAGGACGAGAGACGGGCGGAGAGGGGCGGCGCAAGAGCAGAGTCATGGAGAGGGGGGGGCGAGAGTGGGGGTCCGCGGAGGTCACGAAGTCATCGCTTTGTGAACAGTCGCGTACGTTAGCTCCGTCCACGCCCCGATCATCGTGGCCGGGCCACTCGGCAAAACAAAAAAATTGCGTTGGTTCGTTGATTGTTTCCGGGCACGTAAACTGCAAGAGCCATTTAGGTCCGTAGTGCATGTTTTTATTGCGCGGAGTGGTGAATTGTCCACATTGAATGGCGAGATCCGAAGACGACCTACACGTCGACATGCTGGATTTTCCCCAACCAGATATCTTCCACCAACGAGGCAACCAGGCGATTTGCACCGATGCCGAAAATTAGTCGACGGTAAAGCGCCAGTGTTCGTCAGAGAATAAAGCTAGCGGCTAAACCATAAGCAGATTTTCACCAAAATTGTTATTCCGTGATCGATCTGGATGGTGTCGCGGCAGTTGAAATGGATATTTTGATTTTTGAGGGTTCTTTACATGAAATTCCAACATTTTCCAATTTTCCTAAAAAGTGACTAAATTATTGGCCTATTTTGTTTGTCGAATAAACTAAATAAATAAAAAAGGAGCAAGTCCGACTTCCTTTGAATTTTCTGAATTTTCAAAAATTAGGAGTTAAGTTCAAAACAATTATGTCACTTTCCGACAGCTACAATATTGATGAAAAATTGTAAGTTAACTTACTGAAATATGTTCTTCAAAATTAGATATTTAAGTAGACCATGCACATTTATTTTCAATATATCAATAGTTTTCTCTCAATTTTGCGTGAAATGAAGCAATTTTAAAAACAATATTTTCTGAAAAACTCCAACTTTTTTCTCTCTCTCAAGAAGTGAAACGTGTCCGATTTCCGTTGGACACTGAATTTTCGAAAACGGCAAACGTTACAGATGCGAGAAAGTATGTACCGTTGTAGCACTACTAGTTTCAAACTCGCCGCATCCTACTTGTGGGGCGACCGATTCGTACCAGCACGGCGCGGCGGGTAAGTAAACAGTGCTTCGGTTTGCGAGTACTCGAGACGGTGCCGTTGCACGGCGGAGTGCCGTCGAGTATGTGTATTGCTCGCATCGTGTTTGCTTCGCCGTTCCCGGGCGATGCACCGGGGCGTGGTCGCGGCTCGTGTAATAACGTTTTTCCATGTAACCGAATGGGCTGGTCAACGGTTATAACGTGACGCAGAATGTCACAGAGAGCTCAAAGATTTTGCACAACGCTTACATCTATCAGGTGCTTTTCACTTTGAGTGAAGTTCAACAATACCCGAAACGTTTGAGCAGACTGGTGATACATTTTCCATCTCCTTTTTATATGTACTACATGCTTCTTCTCTCATGCGTTAACTGTTCTCTGAGGGGAAAGAGTTTTCAGGAATGTCATTAATGAATGATGAAAAATATAATGACAGGAGGAATGCTGTTCTGTGCAACACACCTGAATTGAGGCGACGGGATTGCATGGAATAATATTAGGCAAATTGAATGTTGAATTTGGAAATGTTCATCGTTTGGGTACATAGAACATTCTGTAACTTTCTACTAGCCCCTATTCTCGAAAATAATAACGTAACACTTCTTTAAGAAACGTCATATTTAATTGAAAATCGCAATGTTTTGCATAGCAATAGCTCTACCAGTAACCGATTTTCGACACGTTATGGAAGCCCTTATGACGGAGCACAGCTATATTTTATGTTCGCATCGTATGTTGTTATCATGTATCACGGTCTCTTGTGTTTTTTTAGAGACATCGTGATTTGTGTTGAAGCGTCACATGACGCCGACGGTCCGCTTATCTTCACTCGTCGGTAGTGTAAAAACACCGTATGGCGAGTTTTCAGAAGGCTCTTTTTCTGGCGTCGGATGTGCTAGCGATACACATTATAAATACATAAGCAAATAAAGAGGTAATTAAACTTTTCACTTCTTAAGAAAGTCTATGAAAAATGAATGTTCCCGCACAGACGAGTGTGTAGATTGTCGAGAACATTTCGAATATAAATAATTAATTATTTTAAAGCATTTTTGGTGTTGCCACATCACACAAAATATATACTCTCGTTGGATTCTTGCTATGAAATGTGCTCGAGATGGTGCCAATCAGAATCCAAGATTGTCAAACCATTGGATAGCATGCTTCACAGCTGCACGCATCTCCATTGTTATTCCTGATAGCGCTTTATCTTCTCCTCCTTAGATCGGCACATGATGTAAGAACCTATTCCTCATAAACCACATCTTTAATATTCATGTATTATAGAAAATTTAACGCCGAGAAGCATGGAATTTTTTTTTACCTATAATCCGAAGATTATTTCTCCCGAGTTTGGCACCCTAATAGTTAAGTTTCCTGTTTGGAGAGAGGTATAAAGGGTTTAATTATATCCACATACATATCGCGCGCGCGCGTACGTAAGCAGACCGCCTCCCCTCCCTGCGGTGTCACCGCCCGCACGCCAGTTTGAAGGGTGGTTAGGGACGAAGAAATAAATACTCTCAAGAGCACATCCCAGAGGATGACGTAACGAAGAATCGAGAACGGGAATCGAAAAGAGCATTCTGGCGTGTGAAGTTTGTGACAAGGAAGTGCTAGCGGTACCGAGGGCGAGAACTTAGTAATTACAACTTTCGGCTGCTTTGAGAGCATATGCTACTAACTAATGAGTGAATGAATGATATGGACGACAACTGATACTTTGTGATTGTCATTGCCTTCCATACCACAATGACGAGGACTAAAATCCAAGCCTGACCGAAGATTCAAACCCACAACCTGACGTACCGGACAACGCGTGTGCCAGCTGATGAGCGTAAGTCGGCGAATTCTTACTTACCCTCCGATTTTTGGAAATCAATGGATGCAAAATTTTAAAGCTTCCCCTCACGAACAATACTTATACAATATTGTTGTATTGTAAGATTATTATTATGTGAAGTGTATTAACTAACAATACGTATTCAAACTGATACGCTACGGATAATTTCGAGTTTTGAATGATTTTTTCCCGTGGCTCGTGAAAAATGGCGTTTTGAAACTCCCTCACCTCCCTGGGTCTATTGTGCCATTATTTCCGCCCCGAACTAATGCAGTGATCCCTCCGTGTGTGAGCAGCTGGCGCGGGTCTCTCAGGCGAGGGAGGGGTGGAGGTGGGGTGGTTGGGGGTTCATGTCACGCCCCGCGTGCCCCACACCCCCTACGCCATGCCGCTGTCGCTGTCGGCTTTCCGGAGAGAGGGCGTGTTTCCACCCCTCCCCCGGCGCTGTCATGACGCACCACACGGCTCGGCCTCAACTGAATTTCCATCCCAGCAACGAGACGCAGACTCGATGAAATGGAGTTTGGATCCATCTTCCGCGTGTACTCGAGCAAGTTCCCATCAAATTTATGAACTTGGATAGCGCGTCGTATGCGAGATGAACCGCTCAGAGATTTGCGCTCTGGGGTACGGCGAGAGCGTTAAAGGATCGCAAATTTGGTCGAGAGAAGGGTGCAGGCTGTTCAAACTTCGTTTTGTGGAAATGCTTTCCACATTAACACACAGAGGGCGTTTTGACTTTTCCGTTGAGAGGCACTGAATGGGTTATGAAGTTATAAACTTTGTGTGTTCAAAGCGAACCCCTACCTCACTTGCTTCCACCCACAGATAGATTCGTAACAATCCTCAGACAAGCACTGTGTGCTGTTTGTGTACAATTTAACATAACCGAAAACAGGTTAGAATTTTGATCAGCCCGCTTTAGACAGTTAAAAAAAAACGTTTTTACAAGAGAAAAATTTGACTTGCTTAACTATATGACGACCTACTCCAACATTCTTTTGCATTTGAACAATATCTACGTTAGTCACAACTTATCTTATTATTTTTATTATTTTTATAGTAACACATTTCGGATGGTTTTTAGAAAACGGGCTAACAATACATAATGAAAACAAACTCCATACTATACTTCCTGCACAAGTTAATTAGTTTTCATTTGCTCGATTTTAATTAATTAATTTTGTGAAATCTTACTGCGGATTGCATTAATGAGCGTAATCCTACGGAAATGGCAGAAGAAAGTTTCGTGATGAACAAATCAAACCACCAAGCAGCACAACGAAGGGTGTGATGTTCCTTGAAAGATCTTTTTCTTACTCTACATATTGCAATTAGAACTAATTACAAAACGCAGATTCCTGAGGATGCAGATGAACATCTGTCCGCAGTTCTTTCGACCATCTCCGTCCCACTCCTCTGGCCGCAGTAAATCAACAGAAGCGCCGCCGCCACCCCCGCATGCCGCCTGTTAACGAAAGCCTTTTTTTTCCCGACAGCCCGCTCCGCCCCCACCGAGTAGCTTCCCTCACAACGCGCGTCCTGTTCTCTGCTTCGCAGTCCTCCCATCGCCCTGTACCGCTGTGGCGGCGGAGCGGAGAGGCGGGACGGAGAGCGGAGCGGAGTGGAGCGGTCTAATCGCTCAAGTACATGTTCAAGACGTGATAAATTCTCTCGGATAATTTCGTGCAGTTAACACGATAAATTCTTTAATCTTATTGATTCTTACTTCACGAGTGGAATAAT